CACGCAAATTCTTCTGCTAGTTGGGGTTTAGTCCAAATCTGCATCCTTTCCTTCAAGGCTCAGGGGTCCAAGATTATCTTCTGTGTCTGTATTAATTGGTTTCCCTTTTCTTTGTTGAAGAGGGTCTGTGCAATCCTTCTGCCTAGTCCACCATCTTGCCGGGAATCTCTGATGTTTTTTTAAAAGTTCATCAAAGCCACAGAAGGCAGATGATCCCACAGCTCAGATCTGATAACACATTTCTTCCAATCCCTTAATGTATTTATTTTTAGTGAGTGTTAGAAAAAGACAATTGTAAAAGTGCCTCTGTCTCACAGGAGAAAATAAAGAAGTGGGATTCAAGAGTCTTATTCTTCCATACAACCCTACATTCAGCTCTCCCTATGATCAGTTTTGTCCCCTAGATGAAGTTATGTAACTTTATCATCATGTACACAAAGACATTCTGTTAAAATAACCGCACAGTTCACAGGCAGAAGAGTTGTAAGGTGTGATGAACATTTATTTTTTACTATATGTCACTAGCTCCATATTATAGCAGAGTCTTCAAAATTTCAGAAAGAAAATACAGGGCCTTTACTTCTTCATTAGAGAGAGGGATAGATTAAGCTAGAGAAAGGATTATATATAGAGAGAAGAAGTTCAGTATTTTTTCCTTAAAGCAAGGCAGAGGAAGGAATTAGCTCAAGTGAAGGAATGTTTAAATCCCAAGTTGAACAAATATATGTACATCCATTGTCTATACTTAAATAAATGTGTAGTTTGGTAATAATAATGTGGTCTCAGGTTGAATTTGCAACATCTTTTTTCCTCCAACTATGACAACATATTGGTGAAAATGTAAATAAATATACATTATGATTACTTCTAGTGATCAGAAATTATTTTATCATTTAATTTTTATTTTTCAAGTTGGCTTTTCTTACTTATTTGAAAAAGCTTACATTGTCACAAATTCAAAAGATGCTGCAAAGTTTATCAGACATTCAACAGAAGATTACATAAGAAAAAATATTACAAATTAAGTCAAAATCATGATGGATAAATAGGACAAGAGAAGAAGAAATTCTGATCAATACTTTGAAGTTTAAAACTAACTTTGTTTATAATATATATATATATATAAACATAGGATATACTATATAGTGATATCCATGTATATGTATTTCCAAAGTAAAACTATACTGTGGAATAGGAATTATGCCTGTTAATCTTGTTTGTATGTTCCACTATCCTAAACACATGGCAGGTGCTCAAAAACTTGCTAACTGAACGAAAAGTCACTTGGCAAATGAGTTATCTAATTTAAATCAATCCTTAAATGTTTATCAACCACTGAAATTATGATTTATTCTATTAGTTAAAAATGAAAACATTTACATTAGTATAAAGATATTACCTATAAGGATAGCCGTGGTACTTGGAACGAAATATTGAAAGCAGAAAACTGAAGAAGAAGACCACCAGGCCTAATCCCACTAGGCAAATGACTAGAAAAAGACAGAAAATACCATCACTGTCCATAAACATTCAAATGACAACCCAAATGCATTCAATTTATTACAATATACTTACATCAACAGTTCATGACACTTACAGGTACAACAAACCAGATAATCCAAAATACAATGCATTCATTATTTTCCATAATCTTCTCAATGAAAATTGCTTATGTAGGATATGAAAACAACAAAATTGACTAATATAGTCTTCTGGTGGTTTCTTTCTTCTCTTATATAATTCCTACAAATATGAAAATGCCTGCCCTCTCAAAACAAACAAAATATGTAACCACAAATGAGATTATTAGCATCCACATTTTGAGGCCACCTGGCTGTATCAGCAGAGACATTTTACATTATTAGAATGCTAAATATAATTTTATTTTTTTATATGCCATGCAAAATTAACAAATATAATTTTATATTATTAGACTAATTACACGGTCTCAGTAAAAGCATGTTATTTAGAAATAGCTCATCCTACAGTACAAAAGGCTTGGAGAGTAAGTAAATACAATCTCATGAGTGAAAAGGGATAAAAACCTTCTCCGTAGCAGGTAATGGTGTAAGGGTATTGTTGCTGCTGTAATTAATGTTTATTTGAGTTACAAAGGAACAGAGGACATATGTTATAGTGGACTGTGTTGTTGTCCAGGGTTCAACATTTTTTGTCCCAGGCAAAAATAAAGAAAAAGATGATTTTTTTTTCATTATGGTTAAAGAGATTTTATTCCAAAGTAGATGAATAGTAAAATATATCATCTTTCTTTTGTATATATATTTTGGATATGTACTTAAACAAGATTCACTACTATTAATAGTAAACTAAATTAAAACATGCTTATAAAATTTAATGCTTAAAACCTGGTCAACTATATATAGGTATGAACAAAGTAAAAGAAAGAATAACTATATTTAAAGTAATTGACTTCCATTTAAATCCATTCTATAGGTGATCAGAAATTAGTATTATTTCTTAATATGTTAAGTATTATCTCTTAATATATTTTATGAGTGAAACATGATACAGTACTTTTATCATTTCACTAGTTTCAAGGAATTCTAAAAAAAGCATTTGAAAGATTTCTGAATTAATTGATTATCAAATAAAGGGGAAGACAAAAGAGATTTAAAATACTAAAAGAAAATGAGGAAAATAACATTCTACTATATGCTTCTATAATGACAAAATAAGATCATTAAAAATTCTTCTAGCATATAAAGAAAAACAGGTTGAATTACATTTCTAGAAATTAGGGAGTATAGATAAGGTATGGTATTTCCAAAATATGGTCTAGAACTGCATTAGTCAGTTTTCATGTCAACCTTCTAAGAATATCATTCTCTCAGTTTTAAGTACAAATTGTAAAAATCATAAGCCTTTAACAGTATCCAGTTGCAGCTTTTGTGACATTTCATTTCAGAAAATACTTCTGCAATTGGTGTTAAAATGAATATTGGCAGAAAGTAAAGCAAAAAACAGGTTGCTGAAAAGTGAAAAATACTTTTTTTTTTGTTCATTGCAGAATATCCAAGTATCCAGGTACTAGATGTAGCATATTAACATCTTTGCTTAAAACAATCTTACTAAGCCTAGAATTAACTCAGTTACAATCTTACTAAGCCTGAAATTAATTAAATAATTATGTATACATTCCCAAAGGTGGCATTTTTGCAAATATTTCTTTCTCTTCCTTTGATTACTTTTGATATTTTTTCCAAAAGAGGAATAAAACACTCTTTATACTACCTCTGTCACTTTCAGTGGCCTCACTAGGTGCTCAATGGGAAATGAGATTTAAAATAATCAACCATGTAAAACAATGTATTTATTTGATTCTGTGCAGTGGAACAAAATAATGTACTACAAGTATTTGTTTATAGGGAAGGAAGAGAGATGGAATGAGAAGTGAGGGTTAGCAATCACTAAATGGGCTGTATCAGCCCACAGAATACACCTGTTGGAAGGTAAGGTCATGGCTTCACAGAAGCTTTCTGACCTGATCAGTAATAAACACAGTAGTTGTATGATATTACAAATAAAAATAATGCCAGAATCAAAAAGGAAGAGGTTTTAAATATATTTCCTATATATGTATGTGTGTGTTTATTTAGGGAAGGAAGAGGGCAGGTCAGAAGAGTTATATACAGAATTCATTATATGTAAAAATATCTAAAGAAAAGTGATTTTATAAATTTAATATGACAGATGTGAGATTAAAAAACTTACATATTCATTACTATTACTTAGCTTCATATAGTAAGATATATGATTAATATGTAATCACAAAGAGAGTCTGTCTTCATAAGCATGATGTATCAGTCTCAAGAACATTACAGTGTTTATTCAAAAGACACATCAAAAAATGACATTCAAAAATGGTTAACTAAACAAAGTAATAGGGAGCTCCGGTAGCATAGTGGCTAAGACACTTGACTGCTAACCGGATGGCTGGCGGTTCAAACCCACTAGCCACTCCTCGGAAGGAAGGTTGGGCAATCCTACTTCCGTAGTGATACTGCCTCGGAAACCCAAGGAGGGGTCACTATGAGTCGGGTTTGACTCGACAGCACACAACAACAACAACAACAAACAAAGTAATACATTAATTTCGTCTATAGATGCTTTACAATGATGTATAGATACCATCATGGGAGAAGAGGGTAAACTTAACTATATATTATATCTGAAACATTTTAACACTTAGACACTTATAAATTTAGAAATCATTATGATTAATCAAAAGACACATCTCATACTGGCTAAAAATCATTTAATTCTGGGCTTTTACTTTAAATATCTTAATAAATTATTAGTATATTTCAGATATACCTATGTTCTTTACACATAAGTTTTGGATTTTTAAAAAGATTTCAAAAATATGAAATACTAAGAAAAAATTTTAATTATAAGCCTGTGAAAGTAAAATCACAAAATCACATAGGGGCTTGATATTAATTATAAAAAAGGTCTCTAGCAGGAAACATTAATTATAAGGCTCTCCATCAATTATTAACCTATGTTCCTTAAGGCTGAATAATTTTTCCCGTCTTTCCTCTTTTGCTGCCAAAATCTGTTACTTTAGCTTTTTTTTCCCCAACAACTCCTGAGAGGAAATAGTCCTATCAAAGGATAAAACATAATTAACTTGCTTAAAAGCTAATGTTGGACCCTTTGATGGAGATGTAAATCTTGGAATATTAATGGAAAACATAATGTTAAGAGCAGCCCCTTTTAATGTTGGTAAATGGTGGTTAGGAGAAAAGTGGACAAACCGAAAACCAAACTCACTGCTGCTAAGTCGGATCTGACTCACAGCGACCCCTACTTGGGTTTCTGAGGTGGTCTCACTACGGAAGTAGATTGTCCAACCTTCCTTCTGAGGAGTGGCTGGTGGGTGATACCAGCCTTCTGGTTGGTAGTCAAATGCCTTAGCACTATTCCACCAGAGCTGAGAAAAGTAGAAGGTATTACAATATTTCAGTGTGCAAAACTGGTTTGACTTAGGCTTTGACTGCATACCTGATTCTCATGACATGAGGAACATATGAAGACTCAATAAAGCCTTTGAAGACTCTGTCCACAAGTCTTTTCCTTCTGGTCATGAGGCTGCAGCTTCAGTGGGGAAGGGTCAGAGCATCCCTGCTAAGGACGAATGGCAGTCCCCACTTACACACAATTCCAGGGAAAATCACCCAAACCCATTTTTAAAGAAAAATATTTTTCAAGTATATGTACACAAGTATCCAAGAAGTAGGAAAAAGCAAGCAAAAACTAAACCAAACGCACTGCCATCGAGTTGGTCCCAACTCATAGCGACCCCTCCTTGGGTTTCCAAGGCAAGTAAACAACAACAACAACAACAAAACCTTCACTGTCCTAAGTCTAGAACATTTCTTTGGAAGTTTATGTTTACAAAGGACTTTCATGTATTTCCCACTTGAAAACTGAAACTACACTGAAAAAATACCAACACAGTGACTTACTCCGTCTTTTTCCAACATCTCCTTTGGAAGTTGCAGCTTCATTTAAAAGAACCATCCCCATGGTGATAGCAGCATCTACAGGTGTTGTCAAGGAAACAGCCGAAACAGATGCAAATGAAGTTTTCATTTTTGTGGATCTGAATACAATGTATTTTGCTCCAGAAATGTCATTACAAATGAACAGAGATATAAATACAATTTATTATCTTTAAATTACATAATGTTACTACTCTTTGTGGATGAAAATATGCCTTGTTTTTAAAAACTTAAAAACCTCAACATTCAATTTGTGAGATTTTGAGGGTTTTATTCTAAATACTCAGATCCCAGGACTTTCATAGCTCATAAAAATTATATGAACTCTCAGAAATAGTAATGGCATTTCATACAAAGATATGTACTAGTTATACACACAATGACACTTTTTATAAGTAGTAACAGAAAAGTTGAATGTACTCAACATAAATATTTATTCATTTTTCAAAGCATGTGTTTGTGTAAATAGCTTTCTTAATCGTTTTCTTTTTCTTCAACCCTAAAGGTGTTGTTTTAGAAATTACTTTGTTTTGTTAAAGAAATTCTAATTAAGGTTAGGTATTGTGTCACTTAGACATTTTTTGGTACTCAATTGCAAAAGCAAACAAAAGAACAGTAAAACAATCTAACAAATTTAGCAGACTTTTGATCTTCTCAATTAATTATCTGAAATTTTAAGAATGAGAATGCACAATGACTTCTATACTTAACTTTGTTTAGCCACCAAAAACCCAAGTAAGCCTGTTGTCATTAAGTCCATTCCAATTCATAGGGATCCAACTGGACAGAGCAGAACTGCTGTACAGAGTTTCCAAGGCTGTCATCTTTCACAGAAGCAGACTGCCACATCTTTCTCCTTTGTAGTAGTTGGTAGGTTCGAATTGCTGACTTTCCATTAACAGCCAAGCACTTTAAACACTGTGCTACCAGGGCTCCTTTGTGCATGCTGAAACATACCAACTAATTAAATAATGGGAGTTTTTCTTTTGTTGTTTTGTTTTGTTTTTACCTTTAATATTCTTTGTCATGTTATTAAACTAATTCTGACATAGACTACTGTTTGGATTTTAGAAAGTACTAATTTTGGAAATGTACTTATGTACTTTGACTGTTGTTGTTGTTGTTGTTACGTGCCATCGAGTCGGCCCCAACTCATAGCGACCCCTCCTTGGGTTTCCGAGGCAGTATCACTACGGAAATAGGATTGCCCAACCTTCCTTCCAAGGAGTGGCTGGTGGGTTTGAACCACCAGCCATCTGGTTAGTAGGCAAGAGTCTTAGCCACTATGCTACCACAGCTCCCTGTACTTTGACTAATATATTAAATATTTTAGAGAAGAAGAAAACCATTTTCTCAATTTTCGTAATTGATTTTATTATGATTTCCTTGTATTCATTTCATCTGTTGTGCACAGCCAATGTCTACTGTGTAGGATGTATCTAAATGCTTTCTACTCATAAAAGGGAAAGCTCAAGGGTTATCATCTGGCTATATCAGTATGCATCAGTGGAGGGGGTAAGAGGGAATTCTGCAAAGAAAATATTTGCACTCTGAATTTATGACCATATTATTCAACAATTCATAACTTTTTCAGTTAGGCATTTATGTTTACATTGACCTATCTATATGAATGGTTTTAAATTCTATTTATTTACTGGATTGGTTTTGGGGGGGGGGATGTTGATTGGGAAGCCTAATATATATAAAGGAGCTCCGGTAGCACAGTGCCTAAGGCACTTGACTGCTAACCAGAAGGCTGGTGGTTCAAACCTACCAGCCACTCCTCAGAAGGAAGATGGGGCAATCTACTTGTGTAGTGATATTCCCTCGGAAACCCACGGAGGGGTCACTATGAGTCAGGTTTGATTTGACAGCACATAATAACAACAACAATATATATAAGAAAAAGACCCTGTCTTCTGATTGACATACAAATACACAACCACACCACCACTAAATATTTTGGATTCATGACATAGTTCGAAAACTGTTGATATTTAGATAATCATTCAATTCTTGAATTTCAATTATGTACCAATGGCCTAAAAAGGATATTGAAATGAATCAATATATTGTGAACTAGTATTATAGTCTGTGTTTCACTGTTCTTAACTTAAAAGTGTTTGGGAGAAACTATTTGTATACATTCTTCTGAGTCCATATTCGTAGAATATTATTAATGATAAAATGAAGGAAAACATAATTAAAAACTTTTATCACTTAAGGTCTTTAAATGTACAGAATTTCTACTGCTTAGCTCCTAAGCTAGTTCTTTGGAGCAGAGTAATGTGGATCCTTAGCAAGGAGTTAAGTTAGTCTTTCTTTTTACCTTTAACATTCTCTTGAATTACGTTTTATTGTTATGTGTCATGCAGTCACATCAGACTCATAGCGACCCCCTCCTTGGTTTGCCGAGGCAGTATCACTATGGAAGCAGATTGCCCAACCTTCCTTCCAAGGAGTGGCTGGTGGGTTTCAACCACCAGCCTTTTGGTTAGCAGTCAAGTGCCTTAGGCACTATGCTACCAGAGCTCCCATTACCTTTTATATGCATGTATAAATATTAACATAAGCCCCAGGGTTACAGGTGAGGAGAGACAATGCAGGGATGCCCAAAGCAGCAGGCGGGAAGAGCAGGAAAAAAGGGATTAAAAACCAGGAAGCCAGAGAGAAGAGCCATCAGCCGAAGGGATTAGGTGAGGAGAGGAAACTCAGGCCCACCCAAAGCAGCAGGACTGGAAAGCAGGAGAAAGGGGATAAGGCCAGGAAGACAGACAGAGGAACAGTCAGCCACAGGGACCCAGATGGGGGTGATACGAGAGGTCTCCAACAGCCAGACAAACTTGTCTGTCGGTTTGTCCTACTGTGGTGACATGTAGATATGAGTTTTGAGGCTGAGCCTCTGGTGTTTAAAACCCAGTGAAATGTACCTGGTGCACAGGTAACAGCCTAACTTATAGACTGAGACAGACTAGGAAGAAGGAAGAGGCC